GGTTTGTTTAGTTGGGGAAAAAATCTCCTATATGTTTTTTTTTCATTTTTTGATGTTGGAAAACCCTTCTAAAAAAACAGTCAATGATTAAGCTTTCGTCTATGGAAACGCGCAAATGAAAATAAAATTTACTCAAACTGAAAGCTTTGCAAGTTGCAGCTTGAAGTTGAAAGTACCCTTGGCCCATACTGATTCTTTGGACAAACAGAAAACGAACAATTGGTGGATACTTCTTTTATACAAATTTTATAGAATAATATATATAATATTAAGAGAATGAGTTTTAGTAAAATATGATAAAAAAAAAAGTTAATTATTAAATAGTATATAAATTTATATAAAAGAATTATAAAAAAATATTTTTCAACCATTTTCCTTAAAAAAAAAAAAAAAAACCACTAGCCCAGATTGTCAGGCACCCCGTATCATTTTTAATTTTGATTGACACTTCTATATTTTGACCCATACCCTTTACCGAAGCTGAATTTCTGAAACTTGTTGCATTTTTTTCCAAAACTCTTTGCGGAGCATATTGTGAATCAATTATAGGATTAATTTCATACATGTGTTTCTAATTTCTTTTTTTTTTTAATTCGTAGTTGTGTACCAAGGGTTCTTCACATTAATCTCAGAACTCGATTGCCCACTGTCCAGTGTCTAAACCTGATTTTTGTCTAATGGGCTTTGGTTCTATTTTTCCACCATGGCAAGGCCTGAGTCTTCGATCTTCCGTTTGCAAAATCGAACTTCGGTAAAGGGGTAAATTGCCAATCACAGATTAAAAAAAGAAAAGAGAGAGAGAAAAAAAAAAAATAGTTGTGTAACCAAAGTCCACATTATTGGTGTGTGTAGCCGATACATTAAAGTTACAGAAAAATTATTATATCTGTATTTAATTTAATAAATATTTTATCAATATATAATTTTTAAACAATTAATTATAATTACTACTAATTATGTAATTTAATAATATAATTATTTATATTTTTAGTTATAAATCTAAAATTTAATCTTTAATCTCTAAATATAAAAAATATTATAATTTATAAATTAAGTTTAATTTAATAAATATTAAATATTAATAATTTTATTAACTATTAACTATTTTTTAATAATTAAATCAATGTCATTCCTGTAGCCTTAACACAGTCATACGTGGCCGAAAGCGCACCCACACATTATCCGTCTTGTCTTTTTGTGCGCTGCGCTGAGACAGAGACATGAATGGGCCCAAAAGGCAAAACTTGACACTTCATCAACCGCAGAATTGAGGTATCGACAAGGAGAACTGGCCCCCACGATGTTTCTTTGAAATATCGTGTCTTCTTCCAACACTATATAAGGAAACTTTGGTCCTCTTCAAATTCAAGCCCAGACAACACAGAAGTCCCATTTCCGTTTCATTTCATTTCAAGAAACAAAAATATCATTCCAAGACAGAAACCATTATGGCTCCCAGCAAGACAGCGGCCAAACAGAATTCAGGAACATCCATAACAAACAAGTACCAGGTACTTTTACCATAAGTCCCCTATCAGAACGGTTCCCTTTTCTTTCTACCTCCTCATGGTTGTGGTTTTCTAAAATTATTTCAGAGAACAGCATGGAGAAGAAAACAGCAGAGTCTCAAGAAGCTGAGGGCCGAGATGGAGGAGATCAAACTGGAAATGGAGAAGATCAGGGCGGAGATGGATATCATTTCTCAGGGGCAAAAGCACTTAGAAGGCAAAAGGTTGGACGGATCAGTACTTACTGAAATTCTATTTGAACCAAAATTACCTCTCCAAGAATCCAAATTTCTTACGTTCTTATTTCCTGTTTCCTAACCGGTCACAGATCAAACGGAAAAGAGAAAGCAGGCATGGAAAAGCTTACGTACTCAACGCCACACAGTGCCACAGGGGGGCAAGGAACAAAGCGGGATCATACCAAAAAGCGAAAAAGGCAGGACATCAAGGTACCATCATTAAGCAAAATCCTCTACTTGATCCTAAACTCTTTTAGATAAACTAATCTTAGTTTTGATTTTGTGCTTAAAGCAGTTCAACAAAAGGCTTAAGAAAAACAAGACCGCTCTGCTGAGCTTGGAAGCAAAAGCTGCAGAGGAAAGAGCGGAAACCAGCCACATGAGAGAGGAAGTGGCAAAAATGGTAGAAGCAATGGAGGAGAAAGAAGCTGACCTGGAGCTTTTGAGGATGCTGCATGACCAGCTTTTCATTGACATGCTTCACATCTTAGAAGCAGAAGAGAGGGTCATGGAGATCCTACTACCCTAGAGCAGAGGACAGAAATAATTGGAAGTTAAATCACCAGGCTCTGCTTTATCTTCTAATACTATTTCTGTCCGTAAATCCATGTAAATATTTGCCACTTCTGTATGTTTC